CATGTCTAGTTAATTCTAACTCCCAGTTAAACATCTTTATCGACGTTCTCGACACCCATCATATAACATGCGATCGATAAAGCAGTTAACGTGCTTAACTGAAGGATGTACCTCCAGTTAGCGTTAACTAGACATGGTGCAAACGGCCCTTAGCGTTAACTAGACATGGTGCAAACGGCCCTTATGCATGCATATAAACGTAGTAACTGTCCGCGTATGGCCTGTTTTTCCTTATGCGTAAAAGTACATTAAAGCTGAAATTAGTCAAGAACGTAAACCTACCGGTACGTAAACCCGAGTCAGCTGACACGATCTGTCTTACCAAAGCGCCATGTAAATGAAAACTCAACACCGCAGAATTTTTCTGTAGTTGTAGCCCGTAGCGCAGAAATCTGCGGAATTTAGATTTTTCCGTGTCAGCTGATTTCTCCTTCTTTAGATGGTTGCCACTTCGTCAGTTTTGCAGATGGTAAAAAAGTTATAAGTTCCTATTCGAAATATGTTTAAAATATTTGAAATTTACTATTAAATAAGGTTTTTGTTGAAAACTAAGTAGTTTATATTTACTGACTGCGTTTAAGTATACGTTCTGCGTTCTCGACTAATTTCAGCTTTAGGCCGGTTACTCAATGTCTGGTTAACACTAATCTGTGGTTAAACATCGTTATCGATGTCTTCGGCTCCATGCATACACCAGGGAGTCAGTAACGTCGATAACTATGTTTAATCGGAGATAAGTGTTAACCAGACATTGAGTAACCGGCCCTTAGAGCATTTAGCTCTAAATGCTACGCTAAGGGCCGGTTACTCAATGTCCGGTTAACACTAATCTGCGGTTAAACATCGTTATCGACGTCTTCGACTCCGTGCATACAACAGGGAGTCGGTAACGTCGATAACTATGTTTAAACGGAGATTAGTGTTAACCAGACATTGAGTAACCGGCCCTAAATGTGCATTTATCCATACAAAATTCGTTACCTTAGAAATTGAGTTACTGGAGAGTTGCGGCAAGTTACTGGATAGTTTGTAAAAAAATACAACTAATATGTACTCCAATGGAGAACGAAATTTTTGGCTTTTAGGTATATTTTACTCAATTTGTATACATATGTATATGTATATTATTTATGTAGCATAATTTTCCTTTTCACATGTTTAGGTGACAGTGGATATCCTCAATTACCGTATTTAATGACTCCTATTCCGGGAAACAATCTCTCAGATTCTGAACATAATTACAACAGACATCACCGGAAAGCAAGAAACTGTGTAGAACGCTGCTTTGGAGTGCTGAAATCTAGATTTCGATGCCTGTCAAAAGAGTGCTTATGTATGACCCAGTTTTAGCCGGAAAAATTATAAAAGCTTGTATAATTTTGCAAAATATCATGATATTAAATAATATAAGGTATGAAATTGAGGATGATGATAACATAAGTTTTGATGAAGAGTTTAATTTAGTTGATGAAATAACTAGTACTCATCATGGTATTGCTGCAAGACAACAAATTGTAAATAACTATTTTAATTACTGAGATTTGTGGTTTGCTCCCATTTACATGCATGTACAATGTACATATGTACTTGTGATGAGCTTATTCAGTTAGTTACATGTTTACCAGTTTTGTTTATTAAGTCTTGCGCCTTATATAACCAGCATCGTATAAATCCACATTTCATACTTTGTACAAAAATTAAAAAAACCAAAGAGATTTACCAATTTCCCAAAATATTTAAAACTTTGCCTTGATGTTAAATATTTTTTTGTTGACGGTGCCAGGTATTTTCTTCTATATAATAGACGTTTCGAACATACTTTACGTGGAAGAAAATACCTAGCACCGTCAGCAAAAATAACAATATTAAAAATTCTAGCGTTTTGAAACTTGCTATTTGTCCTACTAACTTCAATTTAATTTGTATTCAATTTTTACAAGCTTTCTACAAAGTGTGAAATGTGGGTTTATACTATGCTTGTTATATAATGCGCTAGACTTTAATAAAAAAATAAACATTATAAACAATATAAAAACAGGCAAAACTGGTCAAAATGCAACTAACTTAATTAGCTGACCACTAGGGTACATCCTTTAATTTAAGCATTTATTATTATTATTATTTTTTAAATAATTCAATTAACGCTTACTCAAATTTAAAAAACAATTGCGTATTCGTTTATTTTCTTTATATTAAGTATTTTTCATATATGCATATTTCTGTCCAAAATTCATTAAATTCAATAAAAATAAGACGCTGTTCTACAGCTTGAAATACTTAACCTACAACTTAAATACCTAATTTATTTACATTAATAATAAATGAAAAATTAAAACGCTGTTGTACAACATGTACACATACGCTACAGCTTAAATACCTAATTTATTTACATTAGCAATAAGTAAAAACAATAAAACGCTGTTCAACAGCTTGAAAACTTAACCTACAGCTTAAATATCTAATTAATTTAAATTAATCATAAATAAAAACAATAAAATTCTGTGCCACAGCTTGAAAACTTAACCTAAAGCTTAAATACCAAATTTATTTACATAAGTAAAAAACAACGCGCTGCTCTACAGCTTGGAAAACTAAACCTATAGTATATGACCATTGAATTACAAACGGTACACCGATGTTTAAATTTTTACGTTTAACTGATTTTTTGAACTTTCATATTTTTTTTTTTTAAAAATATAGTAAATTCAATAACATAGACCACATATATCGTAGCTTCGAACTTTGTGGAGAATTCGCGAAAAATCGGCTAATTACGAAAAACTCATCAAAATTTAAAACTTATCAGAATTTTTAAAAAATGTTTTTACTACGCATTTATATAGCCTTAAATTTTAGTACCATAAAGTGCAAGTTTGAAGTCGGTAAAAATTCGCGGTTAATTTTTTGAAATTTTTTTTGGTTGAAGGTGTTCTGCATTTTCTTCCACGTAAAGTATGTCGGCATTTTTTTATGTTGAAGAAAATGCATTACACCTTAAACCAAAGATATTTTCAAAAAACCGACTTCAAACTTGCATTTTATGGAACTAAAATTGAAGGCTATATATCTGCGTACGTAAACATTTTCTAAAAATTCTGATAAAAGCTTTTAAACTTTGATCACAGCTTTTCGTAATTTGTTGATTTTTCGCGACTTTCGCACAAAGTTTAAAGCAACGATAGATGTGGTATATGTTATTGAATTTACAATATTTTTATAAAAGAAATTTTTAAGTTCACAAAATCAGTTAAACGTCAAAATATAAACGTCTGAGTACCGTTCATAATTCATTGGCAACATACCGTAAAGCTCAAATATCTATATTTCTACGATCACTCCGAGACCAATCACCTTTGTAGAAGTAAATCCAATTTATTTAAGATATTGGACAATCAGTGTTGTCATCTTTTGATTTTCAAAAAGCCCCAAAAACTTGGAAAAAAAAGCGTTTTACCACACTAAAAGCACCAATTTTTTTTTAATCAAGGGATGCTTTTTCATAACATAATACCGAAATACTGCACATAAAAACTGGTATATCTCGAGAAAGAAAAATCGAATCGCATCAAACGAAAATGATGCCCTAATTATAAATGAGCAAATAATTTGATGTTTTCATTATATAACCTCAAATATCGCTAAAAACCGTGTTTATGGCACTTTGAGGTTAGGATATCTCAAAATTTTATTGCTAGAGCAATTGTGAGGCCAGATTTGGATTCAGCACCAAGAAAGGATGTGTTTTACTCAGGTGGTAAAAAAAAAAACATTTGTACAAATAATTAGAAAAGAAAAAAAGAAATACTTAACTTACTTGCGTACTAGCATTTTCAACGCGAATAGAATTTAAGAAGGTGGGTTTGCAACTTCAGCTTTTTATCAATCATGGTTGTATTTTTCTCCATTTAAATTTGTAGGTTCTTGTAAATTCAGTGCTGCCACAGCCTTAAAAATTACAAATTATTTCAGGTTTTAACTATCTCGAAGTAATTTTAGTTCAGAAAAAAAGCACTAAAAAAGGCACTAAGCACTAAATAATTTTTTTTTTTGCGTTTGAATTTTCAAAAAGCACTAAATCTAGTGCTTAAAGCAGCAAGTTGGCAACTATGTGGACAATACGTCGGCCTTTCTCTCTTCCATAGAGTTTCTTTTCTCCAGCGCCGCAATTTTTCTTTCCGCCAAGACGACTCTGCGTTCTTCTAATTGTATCATTTGGGCGTTGCTCTCTTCTAAAGAGTAATTTTTGCGTTTGGGAGCCCGACGTTGTGGTGGAAGTGGATCCTGAGGAACCATATCCGGTGCCATT